ATACAATGTGCTCAAGAATAGGTTATCGGTTTCTGTGACAACGTGAGGAACGACAGAGCTCGTGCGTTACACCTTACTACCGCCCGTAATTGGAAGAAAATGTGCTCTGTCGACAGGTCCTGACATTTTATATCAATTTTAAGAAATAAACGACCAATTATAACGAACTCAAAACTAGCTATTTGATTGGACGGAACTGAATGAAAATTATTGGAATATGGGGATGAAAAATTGTTTCGAATGGGACGAAAAAAAACTTCACTCGAAAAAAAATAAAAAAAATGGCCGTACATTTAATGTTAACCGAAATTTATCAAAAGGGACTAATTGCTAAAACCATTTGTATTGTCAAGTAGGGTGAGAGAGAAAAATAATAGTGCAATTACTATTCGATCAAATAAGCAAGATGTAATAAGGAGGGAAGAAGGCAAAGTGAATGGATAATAACAATAATAATAATAATAGTAATAATAATAATACAAAGATTTATGAATAAAGATAACAGAGAAAATTACAATTGGCTACGAAAGGTCATAGTCAAATTACGTCATTCAATAATTAAGATTATGATTGTTGAAATTGGCCTTGATGTTGGCCAGGAGAGGAGGAGTGTTTGAATATATTTCTTCTGTACGCATAGCTCCGGTTTCTTCATCCGGATGGCTATTGCTTCAGCTGTTTGAAGGACTTTCAGTCTGACCAGTTTGGGCAAAAAATTACTGACCTTATAAATAATTGAAAAAGATTGGTTTATACTGGCACTATGACCAGTTTATACTAAATGGGCTAATATTGAGCTGTTCACTTTCTTCATCAAACCTTTGTTAAGCCACACTGGAAGGTGTTCACGAGCACGAAAATGTAAATTCCTAGAACTTCGACCAATATAACTCGCTCCACAGGAGCAGTCGAACTGATAAATGCAAAATGAGGTGGTCATTCTAGGTAATTCATCCTTTAGTCTCGGTGTAAGCATTGGGCGTGTAGAAAACACTAATCGCAGTTCTCCGGCGTTAAAAGATTTTTGTATTGTTCTACGTAGTCTCTGAGTTAATATTTCACTCGCCACATCCCCTCTGAATTGTAGACGCATGAACAGGGATTTCTTCTTCACTGTTTGTATTTCGCCTATTTTCGCCTTCGTGATCATATATTTAGTTATAAACTTTCTATGGTAGCCGTTCTCCCTGAGAGTATTATGCAAGCTGTTAAGCTCTTGTTCAACTATACCAGCAGAACATATAGCGCGTATACGATAACTAAGGGTTTTGATCAAGTTTCGTTTGTGCTGTAGAGGTACAAAGCTAAGAAAATGGGTATACTGCCCAGTCCATGTACTTTTTCTGTTTAAGTTCCTTTTCAACGACCCATCCGTTCTCTTAGTTAAAAGAACGTCCAGAAAAGTTATTCGGCCATCAATCTCTCATTGTGATGTAAACTGAATGGCTGGATACACTTCATTAAATCGCCTAAGAACCAACCTCTTGTGGTGACGTATTATCTTTACACAGGATGAACATGTCATCCATGTATCTACAGTAAAATGTGAAGTTTTGAATAATCTTTTTTAGTGGACCATTTTATAGTTTTGCTAGAAAAATATCGACTAGTATTGGGCCTAGTGGTGAACCCATTGCAACCCCATCTGTTTGTCTATATATTTCACCGTTGAACTTAAAATTCACATTCATGGTGCATTTGAGTAATAATTCTTTCCCTACTTGACCCATATTTATTCTGATCATGAATCTTAAAATTTCACTAAACATATACGCAGATTCAAGTTGACATTCTATCTGAGTCATATCAACATTAACATATTTATTGTATTTTGTTTAACACAATCCTAACTTCACATGCTTTAAACGATGTACCTTGCCCTTAAACTGGCCATTTTTCGGATTATTAATTTGGATATATAATTGTAGAACCTGAAGAGAATTTATCGAAAAGAATATTCTTCGTTCAAATACTAGTCTTTTAATATGATGGGGATCCTTAAATGATTTATATTGTCATTATGAGATTATATTAAAAATTAAGATAATAATTTTATCTTATTGCGTAATTATAACACAATTGCTATTGATATTTTGTTAGGTAAAATACATATGTATGTATAAGGGAACCCTTTTTCATCTACTTTATACATTGAACCATATTGTTCCCAAGTACAATAACTGATTAAAAATATTAGATACACAGATAACTTTACTTATCATAAATATAGACTGGGTCAATGGTATGTAATCGACAATGCATCATTCCAATGATGATTAATTTGTGAAATGCCCCCAAATGCCCTGGTACGGCCGAGAGTGGGAAGAGTCCTCTCTCCCTCTCGAAATGCTCTCACATGGCCACGCGTATATAGCTTCTACCAGGGAAGTCCTATTCACTGCCTTCTCATGGCGGGGGTATTGTTTACGAAATCGAGAGGACGAAAATCGAATGTCCGGTACTTTAACCGGGTTTGGTGGACACGGAGAGTCCAACTAGGGGAGTTAGAAAACCCTGATTCAAAACCAATGGTGCACATGCGCTCCAGTACTCTGAGGGGACAAATGGCTTATGGACCAATCGTTGGTGACCGGCTACCATGGGACTGCATCTCCTTACGATGTTCCACTGGATCAGACCTTTAGGTCGAAGGATCCGGGTGTGGCCTCCTAAGGAAACTACCTGCTTCGGTCTGGGCACCCGGGCAGTATCACAGCCCTCACATAAATCAAATGAGATTTGTGTGGTTTATATGTTTCTGGGGCCCCCTTGTATCAGTATTTATGTGTTCAAATAAATAAATATAAATAATTTGTGAAATTACGCAACAACTATATTAATGGCTATAGACTATGATACTCGAGAAAATAATATTTCGTTTATTGTTGACACATTTTTCACATAACAACCAAAAACACCTCAAAATTAGAACCTTCGTCTAAATTTGATCGAATAGTTTCACAGTATTTCGGCACCGAGTTGATGTGAGACATTAAAGAGGAAGAATATGTATTTGTAAAATTTGAGCGAATGAATTTGAAGTAAATCCAACGTTATTTCTTGAAAAAGCTTGGACCAGATTGCCAGGCAAAACGTTGGATTCATTCGTTGATATTTTACAAATACATATTCTTCTTCTTTAAAAGCACCTCTACATTATTATTTGCAAATATCCGGTCCGATTTTTTGAGAAAGCGTAGTTACTTAGATGGAAATATTTTACTCAATAATGTTAAGATTACAAGAGTGATAATAATCACAAATTAGAAATAAAAACTTTACTAAAATAAAGAATGGTGTTACTACAATTAAATAAGTTAATAGTACGGATGAAAAATGTTCAGAGTGGTCGTATATTTAACAAACAAAACTGAATTGTAAATATTAAAGATTAGACAGAGGAAAGAAGGAAAGAAAGATAACAATGAACCATGGTAGCATGAGGTGAAGTAAAAGTTCTTTCTGTATTCATGTATTTCGATTGAGACGAAAAATAGCTGTTGTGGTAAGATCATATCATAAAGATGAATTTTAGGGCTCTGATGATGCCACAGATATATGTAGTTTGACAACAACTTTAACCAGCAACACTTATAATTGAATCGTGCCCACCTAGTGTACTTAAAAGTCAGAAGTGAGGAGGTTCGAATATATATTTAATAGGTTATCAATATATCGAGAAATGACTGATCTAAACTGGCTAGCGATTGTGGGAGAAGTTGAGCACGAGGTTTCCACTCGTGATCTGGTGCGGATGCGTGACTGAGCTGCTTCAGTTAGGTGAGTCCATTAAAATTAATGTGGTCAGCATCAAATTTCAAAGACTTATAGAGCTATTGATTTATTTTCCGCTACAGCACAATCACATTTAAGATGGCGTCCATTGAAAACTCGGTGAAGGATAGCATGCATTTTATATTTTTCAAAAAAATAAGTAAAAATTGTCTATTATTAGTTCTTAAAATGCTTAAAATTGTCAAACGTATATTCTGTACGGCCACATGGTGAATGTGACATAGTGTGTAAGTTAATTTCAGGAAATACTTGATCCTGGCACTGATAGTGTAGTGAACAAGAACACGAGTGAGGACAATCGAATGTATTTGACACGAAATTACAGAGCATCTCACTGAAATCTGAGAACCATATAGCAAATAGTTAATTTGAAAAATATCAATCCATCGTCTCAAAATTGACTGTTCCACTTGCAAATATCAGTCCATTGTCTCAGATTTCATTGTTCATACATTTTCATTGTAATTGAGTTCCTTCTCGATCATCTACTGAAATACATTCTACGCCTGACCACTGTTATATACTAACCTATGTGGATATAAGTAACCCACACCACAATAGTACCTAAGCTTACTGATGTGATCAAAGGTATAATCAAGAGTAATTTCATAATTAAAAGGTATTTAGTCACTCTGACCATATGCCATCATTGTAACTTCTAACCTTAACACTTCAATACTGACAGATTATGCTTATTTCAATAATAAGTAAATTTACGTTTATTTTTGAACAAACTAGACTTATTAAACTCATTCTACCCAAGTGATAACTTTCAGTTGCCAAAATGTATTCACTCATTACAAGTTGTTTGAATTTGAGATGCTTTGTATCCGCATTAAGGAGAGTCCAGAATTTTTTACGGTTATTTTACCAATTTACAGGATAACTTAATCAGAATGTATATGCCAGAAATTTTATCATTTAGATGGATAAGATCTATACATAATTTAGATATATTCTTAGACGTGAAATTACTTCCTTCATGATGAGAATAAGCAACGGGAAATTCAGAAAATAAAATACCATTATTGAATTGTGTAAATTGACGTAATTGGAATAAAGCTGATCGATAAATAAATGTATAATTTTAACAGACTACAAATTCCAACCAATCAGATCTAAAACAAAAGTTATGACCTTCATTGGTCATTCATGTCTGCCTACAAGTATTTAAATCTTAGTAAATTGATTTAATTTTGGAAAGTATGATGAAGACATATTCTATTCCTGAAGTTAAGTATACTCAAGTAAGTCTTTAACTTATATAGTCAGCACATCTTGTTATCGTTCGATGTATAGTTGTTACTTTCAGATCCTACCAAATTTTTCAAGTTTAAATTTGTGTAAAAGCTAACTAAATTTCTACGAATAATTTAACTTGATTCAAAGGCTATTGTGATAGGTAAATCCATCTTATCAGTAAAGGGTTGTGGAGATCATTAAGTTTTTGATTGAGATCATGAACTGATTGATGTTAGACCATCATTGAAAATCTGAAAGCACTAGATGGCCGTTTCGTCCTATTGTGGGACTTCTCAGCCATTTAGAGGATTGGTTGAGGTTAGACATTAACACCGTTAGATGACGACTTAGGTGTCTAGAGGTTAAGCGTTCGCGCGCAAGACTGAAGGCCCTAGGTTCGAATCCCGTGAACAGGATCGTGGATACGCACTGCTGAGGGACCCCACAATAAGACGAAACGGCCGTCCAGTGCTTCCAGGTTTTCAATGCTGATCTAACATCGATCGGTTCATGATCACTATAAAATAATCCATCTTGAACATTTCCTAGGTAGTTACTTAGTTTGGATTGTAAAATGCATCATTTAGGACATGAAGACTTTTAAATGTCACATTGACTGACTTGCTATTCACAAGTTAACTAATCCCACTTTGTTGGTTTTAAAAAAAATTTGTCTTTGTCATAAATGGAATGTGAGAGTACAAATATTGTATTATAAGTGAATTCATGAATAACTTATTGTTCAAAAATCTTTCGATTCATGAATTATTTCGTTAGTGTTGATTGTTCGAATAGAACAATTTCCAGAATTCTAAGTATTCTTTAGAAATCTGGAGTGATATAAATTCTTAACTGTTCAATGAAATAAAATGACTAGAAAGTTTAGTCGAACGTGGCTGTTAATTGTTTTTATGACGATTTTTAATCAATATTAATGTCTAAATTATGGAGAATTATACAGTACTAACGTTTGTTGTCCGACAAATCAGATTATATATTAACAAGTTTGTTTACTTCGAAAAGTTGCGCTCATTGTACAGTACATACATGTACATGTACATACCAATTTAACTCATATCTTTGTTGAATGGTGATTTATATTTTAACAAAGATGCCTGATAAATTCATAATTAGTAGCGAGGTTGGAAAGATTTAACCTTTAATAAGCCTCATCAACTGTATTTGCTTAACTAGGATTTATCTGCTTAACTTTTGTAATTTTAAATTTAATTACTTTCAAAGAAATCTAGCCAGTCATATGCATAATTACATCTTTTAACGTACTTTATATTCGACATACTTTATTTTAGTTATTCATTGGTAATGAATTTGTCGATAGCAAATCGAAAAAAACATTTCCAACTATTAATCCAACAACAGAGGAAGTGATATGTTATGTTCAAGAAGCTGATCAGAATGATGTGAACAAAGCAGTTGAAACTGCTAAGGTAGCCTTCAAAACAGGATCTACGTGGCGTACCATGGATGCTTCAGAACGTGGTGTTTTGTTGCATAAATTGGCTGATTTGATCGAAATGAATGCTGAATATATAGCTGTAAGTTGCTTCTTATCTGTCCATATGAGTTCAAATTGGTGACTAAGACGTCCATTCGGTATCAGATTTGAGTCCTGTGTCACCTACTTGATTTCGGGTAGCCGGTTATTATTACTAGCCTTCAATCATAAAGTTTGACTTAGAGCACTGTGTACATGAATCTGCAATTGATGAATACGTTACATCATCATTATCATTTTGGAAAGACATGGAGTATCAATTTTTCTGATACAGCTTGCTCTGTACAGGTGAATCTATAGTTAGATTTAAACTAAGGAAAGAATTCAGTATATTTCAGCAAGACAAGTGATAAATATTTAGAGCATTTTTTGGTCTTGTGTCATATTGATATTAGGAATTCAAAAATTTCCATGGAATATTCGAGAGCAGAAAGTCTTAAAGTGAACGATCTTTTACGATAACTCCTTCATTAGACTTTACGGTTATAAATCAAAAATTTTCATTTTTGTGTTAATACATTAGAAACAACAAAATTCACTCCGGTTGTTTCTTAAATTGTACAAACTACTAATAAAATCAAATAACTTCAGTGGTAATGTTGAGAAAAGATCAAACAAAAAAGGATGGGAAGAATCATATGTCGTGGTGAAGATGATGAGTTCTAACTGATAAGTTAAATTGTATATTTAAAAAAACTAATTATGTTATAGCTGTTGTGATAATAATAACATCAAAAATAAATATAATCTAAAATAGGAAAGATGAATTCGGGATAAGAAACAGTGTCTTAGGAGTGCAAATCATAATTGTTACATCCTACAACCAACCAATACGCATAGATGACCTTAAGCAACCAATACCCAGCAAGGACTTGAAAGACTGATACTCTACACCTGACGATTGACCCAACACTAACTTGCCCCGAACGAAGAGGAAGAATACAAGACAAATGTTCACCAGACTAAGATCGTCAGTGTATTTCAGACATTCAATTATATACATACATGACCAGACCACACAGTAAATCATTTAGATAACAGTATTAACACGGAACAACAACATTAATGATGAGAAGACGGAATACTGGGGACACAAATAATTGGTTCTAGTTTATGAATGGAATATGCTATAAAAAACAAATCACGGTTCAAATAAAAGCTTAGAACTAGGGTAATAAGAAAATAATAGAACAAAAATACTCGGTAAAATTACAGCCAATTTATAAATAAAACTGTAGAAAAATAGCTTCGAAATTTTCTACTTTATAGTTAAGTCGTCCCTTACAACAATAATGAAAGTAGAAGGGACGTCATTGGATGGTGGCGTTCCATTCATTTAAAGTTGGTAGAGACTTACCTTGTGAATTTGACAAAGCTTTCCTGGATATGATTCCCATGTATTCAAGACTTACAAACCCATCGCGTGGATGTGATTACAAGGGGAAATCGATACCCCTTGTTCTTGGTGCATGGATGTCGCACCAGGGCCTAATTTGCGTTACATGCACACCAATAACACACAAGTTTTCATTTATGCATCTCATAGTATAAATAAAGGCATATTCATCTACTTGGGATGGTAGAGGGTTACCGCTCTCGTCGAACGTATTTGCTACAACTGACTGTCTTCTACGCATTACATGCACATTTTCGGTACAAAGACTTGCTCATGCACTTCATGGCATGCACGTAAGTATAAGCACTCTCAGAAAAGGTTGATGGTCACCTATTCCCAGTATTTGCTCTTATTTCTCCTTTTTGTGTCTTCGATATGTTGGCTTAGGTCACTGATTTTATAAGATATAGGGCAAACATTTCAGCTTACATTCCATTAGTGAACCCGCCGCGCACCATTTGTATATACCTACATATACAAGTACACCAGCCGAAACTCATGCAATTCATATGCGTAAGCATACACATCAGACAGCCCGTAAGATTTGAAAGCTTCAATTTTGGAGACCAAAAGTAATCTGGTTTATAGAATAGTTGGTGATTAGTCCGATCTTATCTGACTGCCCAAGTTAACTACCAAGGTTGCCCCTACTACCCAGTAGTGCCACATGGAGGCCTCTGATCGGATTTTGCTGCCACATTATTTGAGCTAAGAATAAAATGACCCAAAGTAGATAAAATGGCTTTATTTATCCTTTTTGGGTTTCTTTGAATAAATGCCAATTACTTCAGCTGTATATAGTAAACATAATCTTACGCCTTTTGGTAGATTAATAGGTATATGATGTTTAACTTTTTCTTTACATCACTGATAATGAGGTGTTGTTTTGTTAGTAATTTGTAGTATTTAAAACTCAATCGACGTAAAATTTTTTATGCTCAATTTATTCCGTAGATCAATCCAACTTCAATATTTGTTTACTTAATGCAATAATAATTTTGGATTTATAACTGCAGAGCCTAACCGAAAAGTTATTGAAAACGATAGATCACTGTAATACTCTCTACTCTTTAATGTTTATTTTAGCTTGAAGGTTCCACTTTTTCGGATTAGTTTAGTATTCCCTTTGTGGAACCTTACAATTTGTGAAAATGTTCATCCATTTCTTTGTGATAATATATTAGTTTGTTCAATAATGAAAATAGTAAGTATGCTACTCTATCAACCCATCATCATTTATTTCCCCTTTCATTTTAGCGTTTAGAAGCAATGGATAATGGGAAGACTGTCGAATCAGCATTAGGTGATGTCTTATTTGCAGCGCAAACAACTCGATATTATGCTGGATACGCTGATAAGATTCACGGTAAACAGTTACCAGTTGACGGAAATATGATTACGTTTACTCGCCGTGAACCACTTGGAGTTGTTGCTTGTATCACACCGTGGAACTATCCGTTTTTGTTGAGCGTTCTCAAGTGTACTCCATGTTTATGCGCTGGGTGCACAGTTGTATTGAAACCCGCAGAACAAACACCATTATCCGCATTGTATTTAGCTGCTTTAACCAAGGAAGCAGGTAAACATACACATATACATTTAATATTCCATTTTAAAATACGAATGATGTTTATGGATAAACGACTTGCAAAATCAGCCAAGAAACAATTAGCGTGTTCATTGTGTTATTTCTGCAATACGTGATTGAACTGAGTTAAATTGCTAACTAACTGTTATTATTTGACTGGAAGGTTAGCGTTTTTAAAACTCCAGAGGTACGGATTTTAATCAGCGTATGACTTTGATTTTGGTTTCTTTCCTACGGTATCGTAACTGATATCAACCATCAATAACTGTTGCCTACGTTTATTCGAACAGAAAAAGAACCTCATTTAACTGAGATACAAATGAATATTCATGATACATTTAGAAATAACTGTTGATTTACAAGTTTGAATCCTTTTATACTTGTACAAATGATTTTATACTAACGTAACTAAATTTCATTGAGTCTATTTTGATTCCAAGTTTAATTCTATGTAAATCGACTTGTTATATGTTTCACCACTGTATTTGTTCTATTGTCGTAATTTATTTTATATTTTCAGTAGTAGAATAAGTGTCTTCCAGAAATAATTGACAATTATTTTTTGATTTAGGTTTTCCGCCTGGAGTATTTAATGTTATCTGTGGATATGGTGAAACTACTGGTGAGGTGTTAACTCATCACCCAGATGTTAGAGCTATCTCATTCACCGGTAGTACTGAAGTTGGTCAGTTGATAATGAAAGCTGCAGCTACGAATATTAAACATGTGAAATTAGAACTTGGAGGCAAATCACCACTGATCATACTAGCTGATGCTGATAGTATGTGTTTTAAATTTTTGTTGTATTTTTTCACCGTAATTAGAAGTGCTATTACTGAAGAACTGTAACCCAGACGTTATTTTGTTAAAAATTCTTTTCAGGAACATTTTCCATTCATGTAAAGGTTATTTCTTGAATGCCATAAAAGATGGCACGCAGTCTTCAGATATGATACCGAACATTTTACTCCCGTTATTATACTGGTGAATTTTCTGCACTGTTTATATATTACAAAACCGATATCAAACTTACACCTTCTGGAACAGTCCCAGCTACCGCCTGTCCTGAATGGCGGTGCTAGATAGTCTAGAAATAGGTTGCAAAATGTCAGGAATTAATCTGTGAAGTTGCTAACTATTGGTCTGAGATAATCTAAGAGGAGAAAACTTGGTGGTTACGGTTTGTAGCGTAACGCTAATGTATGTTTTAAGATATAAAATGACATGGTTCAAAATCGTTTGAAGTAGACTATTCTTTATGAATCGGTAATTTAAAATAGCTTTCACCCGATTAGTTCATTTTCATTTTACTTTATTTGTTTTTTGTTCCAACATTTGACCCTAAATAAAAGAACACTTAGATGAATTGTAAACCTTAATGTGTTGTCTGTGATAAAATTCCATTGAATTTAACAATATTCATGCATTTAACACGTATTATTTATGTATCAATGGGGTTTTTTTTTTAATCAAATTAGTTTTTGTGCTCTTAGATTGTTCAACTTACAAATAAATTTAGATTGTTTTAATAGTTGAGATCATGAGTTAATTGAAGCTAGACCACCATGAAAAACTTTGAAACACTGGATGGCCCTCGAAAATGATAATTTATCTTAAGTTTATATATCATTAATCGTGGATGCGCACTGTTGAGGAGTCCCACAATAAGACGAAACAGCCGTCCAGTGCTTTCAGGTTTTCAATGGTGGTTTAACACCAATCGGTTCAAGATCTCTATCCCAAGAATCGTTTAGTGATATATTTAAACCTGCTTATACTTTCGGAGTATTTCTCTATTTCACTTCTTTTTCTTTTCATTATCATCATTATATTTTGAGATCACTGGAGATTAGATGTTTGAATACTTATGAAGCTAATATATCCTACTGTTATTCGTATACAAGAATGTGTCGAATATTTTTGTATAAATGGTTTTGAATGTATATATATATATACATATATATATATATATATATATATATATATATATATATATATATATATATATATATATATATATATATATATATATATATACCTTAAAATAAATTGATGTTGCTTCTTTGTCTGTTTTTGATTGTTCAGTTGATAAAGCTGCAGAAGTTGCACATGAAGCTACAATGGTTAACCATGGACAGTGTTGTGTGGCTGGTACTCGTGTATTTGTGCAAGCTCCTATATACGATCAGATGGTTGAGAAACTGAAAAGGCTAGCTGAACAACGTAAAGTCGGTGATCCTTTCGTATCTGATACTATACAAGGTCCACAGGTAATCAATTACTGTTTGGTTGCTATATTGTGTTGGTACATAAGTACTACCGATAATTTTGGAACTATTTCCCATGAAACTTTTTATTTGTTTCTCTCGGCACACTGTTCTTAAAGTCTTTATTAAAATTATATAGTAGCTACCAGTGCAATAAGGAACAGTTTTAGCTGATTACATCTACCTCTCAACAGCAAAATAAAAACCCTTAAAAATACTATTTTAAACGTCATTTACCATAATAGTAGTCAATTGGTGAGGTAATGTCATTGAATTGACAAAAACACGAACTACTTTTATAAGTGATTTTTGCAGTCATTTGTAGAGGAAACCAATATTAAGTCTTATTTCAAGTTCTTATTGCCACAAAGTGTATTTGAAATGTTAAAATAATCATTTTTTCGTTTGGTTACTCTTTAACAGTGGGCTCCAAAAGCTCCAGATACGATGTAACCTAGGAGCTTTAAGTCTAAAAACAAGCGTAATGCCTACAGATCATCATGTAAATGTTTAATGGTTCACACCGTCAGCTTCAATTAATTTGTATTATAATGTGATCCTTATACAGTATTATTCTTGTGTCTCACTACTTGGATCACTTCTTCCAAACAGAACCTAGTCCACTTATGATCCTACGGTTATTATTGTATTAAGTGGCTTTGTTGAGATTTCCTGTAAATTTAAGGATACTGACCTCACTTCACTTGTAGTCAATGGACAACTTAAATACCATGAATTGACTCGCGTATGAAGATGTGAGTCTGCATTCTTTGGGAGTCTTCGGGTTTCGAACCCAGGGCCGCGAGCGGGATTGTGGATGCGCACTGCTGAGGAGCACCACAATGGGACGAAACGGCCGTCCAGTGCTTCCAGGTTTTCACTGGTGGTCCAACATCAATCGGTTCATGGTCTCAATCAAAAACTTAATAATCTCCTCAACCTTATACTGTTAGTCTAAAACTAACCGATTTAGTGTCTCGTTCTCTTTCAGAAACTTTCCAGTTGCCATCAATACACAAGTATTCGCTTAAAAATTATACAGTGTTAAAACACTACTGAACTCAATCTCGATTTATTCCTTGTCTTAAATCAGATAACCTAAGTTTGAATAATTGTAATTTTAGTTCCTAATTATATATATTACACCCGTTAATCCTCATGGAGGAGCATAAGCCACACACCAGCATTCTAAACTCAACCCTGTTCTGGACAATCCTTTCCAGTCCCTACTCATCCTCTTCATGTCTGCTTCCGAGTCCCGATGTAGTGTGTTCTTTAACTTTTCTCTTTTTCGTTTTCCATCAGCATTCAAAGTTTGTGTTTGTCTCGTGATGGAACTAGTTGCCTTTCATTTGTATGGAAAATTTTTCTTCATATTGTTGTCTTTGACATAATCTAACCTTAATAACCTGATCGAATGTTTGATGTGAATTCGTATAAATAAAAGTTTTTATTTACTAAGGCATGCTTAATCAAGGTGAAACTTTCTTTTCTTCAATTTCAATCTGAAAAAGATTGACAATGTACAATTTGACAAAATCATTTCATATATTGAGAAAGGTAAAAAACAAGGTGCTCGACTAGTCACTGGAGGATATCGAATTGGAAAAAAAGGTTATTTTATTCAACCAACAGTGTTTGCAGATGTGTCTGATGAAATGTGTATAGCAAAAGAAGAGATTTTCGGTCCAGTTCAATGTATATTGAAATTTAATACATTGGAAGAAGTAATTGAACGTGCGAATGCCACACATTATGGATTAGGTGCTGGTGTATTCACAAATGATATGGATAAAGCAATGAGAATTGCTCAATGTGTAGAAGCTGGGAGTTTTTGGTAAGCTTATTTCACACTGAAAAATAAGTATTTGAATTATTGATATACACTCGTTATTTCATGCTTGTTTAATGAGTAAGATGAGTATGAGTTGAAGTCAGTGACAAAAGAGAAATCCTCATCGTGTAAATCAATACAACAGATATAAACGAATAATATTGTTTTCAATTAATTATTCATCAGACTTTAATATACAGGAATAATTATATGTATAAATTCACTTGGTATTGTTTACTTGAACCTTCCGATTGAGGTTTTTAAGACTGCAATTAATCAGTCTGTTATTGGTATATGTGCATACTGTGCGTATTTACTCAACATTGCCTTAATTCACAAGCCTGACAAGTAAAGATGGATAGTGGCTAGCAGTGGAATCCAGGACGCGCATTTTGTCCTATTTGGAACTCATCAGCGGGATGTATCTGCATCTAATTATATGCATATATGAGAAATACTGAACCAGTCAAGGTAATTTGTGAGTCAGTGACAATTATTAAATAGATTATATTTAGTATGTTAATATAAACAAATGTATTGAAACAGGAAGTTATTCAAAGCTTGTGAATAAACGTATTACAATAGTAACCATTTAAATAACACAATACAATCCACAAAACGGACTTATTGTTTTTAAAACAATTGAATATAATCTGAACTATTTGGATATTAGTAAATAATATTGTTCAACACATTGGTTAAGTGAGAAAATGAAGTAGAGCTGCAATGAACAGAGATGAACTATTTGTAATGGACATACCTTAGTTCACATGAATCAACTAGAAATCTAAAATAATTCTGTGAACAATTGATCCTTACGGAATCTAGTCCGTTTATCTCAAAGTTGGGTGTCTATTGAGTCTTTCATCTGGTTTAGTAACACTGTTGAAAACCTGTCCTGGTACTGACAGTAGTGTTATGCATCTGTAGCTCTCTCATTTGCTCAAATCTTCTTTCTTTGGTTTCCTAATGAGGTGTCCTTCTTTTGAGTCTGTCGGTGACACTTTTTCTTCCTCTCGAATCTTCCTGAATAGAGTGTGGAGCATGTTTGCAGTTACTTATGTGTGACACTTCAGTGCCTCAGATGGTATATTGTGGGTCCCACTCTTGATTTGTTTGATGGCCATCCAGATTTCTTCGATCGTTGGTGGAGTGATATCTATGGGAATGTCTGTGTGTGCTGCTCCTATGTCCGTTGGATTCAATGGAGCTGGTCTATTCAAGAGTTCTCCGAAGTGCTCCACCCATCTGTTCCTCTGTCCTTGAATCTCTGTGATTGTCTTGCCTCATTTGTCCTTGACTGGTATCTCTGGTTTACTATACTTTCCTGATAGTTTCATCGGTATCATATAGTTGTTTCATATTTCCTTCTCTTGCAGCTTTTTGTGATGTCGTTGCTAGGTCTTCCACGTATTTCTGCTTGTCGACTTTAATGCTCCTCTTGACTTGCTTGTTTGCTCCAGTGTATTCAGCTTTCTCTATTCTTTTTCGGTTGTTGTTAACAACTGTCTTCTGTTACTCATTTTCTTGGAGCAGCAGGCCCTGACAGGTTTACTCCTGAGATTTTTAAGGATGGTGGTCCAGTATTAGCAGTGAGATTAACTAAGGTCTTAGGTAAAATTTGGGAACCGGACCTAATCCCATCTGACTGGTCTCAATCACTGATTGTGCCAGCCTATAAGAAAGAAAAAAAGTCCTCTTGTGACAATCACAGAGGAATCAGTTTGACTAATATCGTGTCTAAAATATTAGCTTCAATAATACTTCGACGCCTAACTAAAGCTCGTGAAGAGCAGACTAGAGAAAACCAGACTGGTTTTCGACCTGGACGTGGCTGTATAGACCAGAGATTCACACTACGTTATGTCCTAGAACATAGACACGCATTCAGACGCCCCACAATAGTAGTATTTCTCGACCTTAAGACGGCATTTGACTCTGTTGATCGTGAGGTTCTATGGCAATGTTTGTCACTGAAAGGAGTACCAAAGAAGTACATTAACCTTATAAAGGCTCTCTACTCGAACACAACTGGTCGAGTGAGAGCTTATGGTGAACTGTCATCAGAATTGATTACCTCAAGTGGCGTTCGTCAGGGCTGTCCACTCTCTCCATTCTTGTTCAACTTTGTCGTTGACGTCCTTTTAGAGATGACACTTTCCTCATCTAAATTTCCAGGAGTTGAACTTCTACCGGGAGACTCACTTGTTGACTTAGAATATGCCGATGACATAGTTCTATTTGGTGAAGACCTTGACAAGATGCAGTCTTCTGACCACTCTAAGCAACAATGCAGGCATGTTCGGCATGCCATTATCTCCCTCGAAATGCAAAATGTTGCTTCAGGATTGGGTTGCGTCGACACCCGAACTAGTGATAGGGAGTGAAGTAGTTGAGCATGTCGACCGCTTCACTTATCTTAAAAGTCTCATCAGCCCTTGTGGTTTGGTGTGTGACGAAATCTCAGCACGGATACAGAAGGCTCGACTAGCTTTTGCAAACTTGCGTCATTTGTGGCGTAGGCGAGATATCCATCTATCAACCAAAGGACGAGTTTACTGCGCAACAATTCGTTCCATCCAAATTTATGACAGTGAAACATGGCCAGTAAGAGTAGAGGATATTCGTAGGTTACTAGTATTTGATCATAGATGTCTTTGAAACATTGCTCGTATATCCTGGGACCATCGAGTAAGTAATGCAGTTGTTATGAAACGGGTGCTAGGTAAGGATGGCAAATCAATTGATGAAGTAGTGAAACTTAATCAGTTGAGATGGCTGAGACACGAGTTACGCATGCCCGACCACCGACTGCTCCGACGTGCGGTGTTTTATGGTGTAGGAGTAGGTTGGAAGAAAGCTAGAGGCGGCCAGACCAAAACATGGCACAAATCCATGAAGTCACTGACAAGTGGACTGAGCCATGTTGGTAGGTGTAGAATACCTGGTTGGGGACCGCGAGATGATAGCAACCGATGGTTAGATATCTTGAATGACATGGCTGAAAATCGTTTGCAATGGCGCAGGTGCATCCACTCTTTGTGTTCTCCCTAAATGAAATTTTCTGAATTCTTCATGTCCTTTATTTTCTTTTCAAATTTATTCCACTGGATTATACTCCTTAACTAACATCTTCAAACCCTAATATTTTCGATTACTGCTTATACTTTTACTACCTCTACCAAAATGGGATTTGATTCGATAACCGACTGACTGACTTATTTGATCACTTACCCATTGAAATAGGTACTTTCCACCCACATATGCTTCTACCGATGTATCTAAAACCAAAATACCTCGAAATTTAAGACTTATGAAGTTACAGTCGTACATCTGTCTTCTAGATAATTCCTCTGATTTTCGAGATTGTGCTATAATTCACGTTTCTCTTGACTTTCGAATTCCAATGATCATTTTCGAGGGGACGATTATAAACTAGTGATTGGTTGATAACTACATAGAATTCACCAAACTCATGTTCCATTTTCGGAATTGAATCAAAACTCTAACTAATACACACTGATCCGTTGCATTATACTAAACTCAACAACGAACGATGTCAAGAAAAAGAAAATGAAAAAAAAGACAACTTATCTAACCGATACACAGTGAACGACTGATCATCTGTGTTGTAACAGAAAACAACCCGAGTATCGGGACTCCATAATTCCATGCACACTAACAACCGACTTTTTGAACACCTTGTTCTGTGAGTTAGTACCATCGAACAAAATGAACTGAAAATTTTCAACCAATAAATCAAATGTTAAATATATGAGAGAGGTGAATGAACTTGATCTCCTGTTGTGCAGTGGGATGTGAAATACAGGGTTGTGGTGATTATTAATCAACACAGTGGATTCGACTCAATCGAACTGATATTGATGTGAATCGATAGTGTGTGGAGAATAACCGAAATGATTGGCATTAGTTAATGTGTCTTATTGGATGATTTGTAATTCGGTTTGAGAAGTGACGACCTAATTGCACAAAGAATAGAACCGAGTGAATCTGCATCATGAGTGTCCGTTGATAATCTATGAAATGGTCAGTGTTGTGTATGTGGAGTGAGTATGTGGTACCTCCGGTAGAGAGTGTAGTTGATGTAAGCGGACAGAGAGGTAGGGACGTAAGTGTGTGTGTGTGTGTGTGAATATTGATGTGAGGAATGAAGTGTTTGTGAGGTGTTGGTAAAATAGGTGACGTCGCGTGCCGTGACCCCCATTGTGAGATGTGATCAATAACCGTGCACCTAAGGCTAGCGCCCACCCAACCAGGTCATCTGCTCAGCACCACATACAGACCAAGGCCCACATGCAGTACGTCTTCGCAGCTACGACGTGGCGACTGGGTGGGAAACCCGCACTTGGCGGACAACACTCTCTGTCCAGTGCCCGGGGAGTTCTCCCAGAGTCAGTGAGTGACTTCATGTATTGCACTCTTGAACAAACTCCGAAATAACCACCGGCACGCGACGACTGTTGGTCATTGCATTTACTCACCTAAAATATACTGGTTGATAACCGTTAGGAGGGGTCCATTTGCACATCTTCTCACAACTTCTTCTTCTTCCCATCCCGATTTCGACCAATCGTCGACATCCTAAATCCTCATTTACTTGTGCCTACCTTTTGTTCTTTTCCTACAGTAACTTGAGCATTTTGCATTTGCTTATACCCTTACTTATTTAAGTAGTATATTGACATTGGTGGTAATATTATTCACGGTTTCTTAATCTTCTTACCACATATACTATAATTTATTCATCTTCAAGCATTCGTATGCTTTGATTTGAATGAATGTTTCGTTTATTGTTTCATAAGTGAGTAGATCGAAACTTATTCAGTTACTTAAGCTTGTTAATCCTCATGAAGGAGCATAGGCCACCCACCAGAATTCTTCATCCAACTCTGTCCTGGACAATCCTTCCCAGTTCCTATTCATCCTCTTCATGTTTGCTTCCAATTCACGATGTATTGTGTTCTTTAGTCTTCCACTTTTTCGTTTCCATTCAGCATTGCAAGTTTGCGCTTGTCTCGTGATGCAGTTTGATGATATCCGTAATATATGTCCTACCCACTTTCAACGGCTTTTTATAATTTCCTCCTCAGCTCGATGTCGGTCTGTCCTCTCCCACAGTAGGCTGATGCTGATAGTATCCGAACAACAGATATTGAGTATATTGCGTAGATAATTGTTTAGAGATACTTGTACTTCTTGATGATGATTGTGGTAGTCCTGCATATTTCAGCTCCGTTCAACAGAACTGTCTTGACGATCATATTGAAGATTCTGACTTCGATATCGATTGACAGTTGTTTTGAGTTCTATATGTTATTGTCTCGTGATGCAGTTTGATGATATCCGTAATATTGGACAGTGTCAGAGCAACCGCCTGAGTGTGTGCAGCATTTTCCTCTTCGTGACTGGAGTACAGCAGCATCCCTGCCGTACCTAACTCTCGCTATCCAGCTTGGGTCCAATGAGTTTCGCTGATTGCGAGTAAAGCCAATTTGTATGTCCTAATTTCCGTAGCTATTTTACTGGTCCTCCCGGTTTCCCACATTGTCCGGACTTCCATATACCCATAAAGATTGTTGCTCTGGTTGTTAGAAGTGCCATCAGCCTCGTGACTCCCGAAGAATCTCGGCTTTCATCATGAGGCGTCCTAATTGTTCGTTTGACTGGGAGGGTAGAGTTTAATTTGCTTATTCTGGTTAGTGTTTTTTGGCAAGGTTGTTTTCTGTGGGATGGGGTTGCTGACTCCATGCCCAACCATCCTCCTTTACCCGGTCTTGTGTCAGTCAGTACCCCTTGAAGAGATACGGGAGGAGTTTTACTGTATTTTGACAACCTATTATTCAATAATTTATTATTAATTAATTATACGTGTGATTCAGCTCTTAATACAATGTTTGTTTGGATTCTTCCCTTTCATGTCTTAGGATCAATAGTTATAATCTCATTTCTCCCCAAACTCCATTCGGTGGTTATAAAATGTCTGGAATGGGGCGTGAACTGTGAGTATTAGGATAAATAATTTTTGCATGTATGTGTTTTAGTACGTTATCATAATTCTAGTTCTTTCTAATATCTGGACATGTTTGACAATGGAAATGCACTACAACAGGATATCCACTTAATGCATAGAGAGAGAGAGAGAGTAGTATATTACATGTACATTTATTCACAACCATCAATATGGTTTCTTTCGTAAACCTGCAATTATTAAGTATTTTTCATGTTGTGAGACTAACTGTTTTAAAATTTGATGACTATTTGACTGGCCTGCGTGAGTTAGATAACATAATCTCGATAATCAAGTGTTCAAGCCTACAGTAACTAAATCAGATCATTACAACAAACATATTCAACTACTCCTTTTTCTAATCAAAATTATCTAGAGAAACGTTTAGAACTTGTTCATTCGTTAATGCTTTTCAATGATCAACATGAATAAAAACTGTAATCATTTGCTGTAATCATTTACGTACAAAATAGATTGTTCATGTGAAAGTAAAATTCAATTAGGTTAGTAGGTTAAGAATGCTTTCGATTTCAGTATGACCATAATTGATTTGAACTGTAATTGGTTTTTCCTACTGTATCATCCATCATAAAAGTATCATTATCAACTAAGATCATAAATAATTTAACGTATTCTATTAATAGGCACTTTGTTAAACGAATGTGAATATTTGTCTAGCTTGATAGTTCTACTCACTAGTTGATATGAAATAGAAAACGAATGAAAATGCTAAAGCGTTGTGCAGCTCTTTCATCGTAGCTTGGGACTTTTCAACTGATCATACATACAGTTACACGAATGACCTTCAAATTAGTCATTAATGAATAATTTTGAGATATCTCTGTAGATTGTGAAATTAACTATCTAAATTATGTGGTAGATACCAACAGATGACATTGTATGATGTTTGCATTGTATCACTGATTAAATAAGGTTGGAAACATGAACAATTTCAACATTACTATATAATATTACTCATTCTTTTTTTCATTATTTCAGTGGAAAAGAAGCACTGGATGGTTACTTGCAAACGAAAGTGATTTCTATGCCAATTTCAGTAAAGAATTCTTGAAATTCATGACAGTTTTTTTTTTTACTCTTTTGTATTTTCTCTATAAACACGATTAGTTTACAATAGAATTTTGATATAAATGTGATTTATTGTTATTGATATTGATACTGTTGTTCTATCGTCAATAGTAGATATTACATAAATAAACAAATAAAATATTGTAGAAGATTTCCATTGATTTTCTGAAAGATTTACTTAGCTTAAAAATAGATGGGGAAATAAGAGAAAATATGAAAAGATCACACTGTTTTTTGAAACATAATCACAGTCGAAATCCGTAATGCACTTGTCAGGACAATGTTCACTCTACAAGATCGTTTGAATACCTGTGCAATGCCCACAAATTGGTTGTCAAATTGTAATTAGCAAGGAATTCTAGTCATAAGCACAAAATGGATCTATTCGATTATAAGATAACCAATTAAGCGTTTATGTCTATAGTACAGCAGATTTATTAATCTTAATTACGTCACGATTCCAGAGCAAAGTGATGAACAGTCATGTCGATAGATTCCCATATCAAGCTTTGTTCAGATTTATTTAGGGATGAAATTTTTCTAGGATGCTTATGAAAGCCTGTGGGTACTGTCAACCTATGAATACACTAGACTCTATTCCTTCTTTGATCGCCTTTTATGTATTTAGATTATACTACTTGCCAGTAGTAAGTAGTTTGAGGTACAATAAACTATTTACAAGCCTCTAAATTGGCACCTAGTTTCATAAACTTGCAATCGACTTCATATCCTATGTGTTTACCTTTGTGTTCTGATACATGAACTACATCTTTTTTTCACATTTTAGGATTTCTACTTTTTTCTCAATCCCTTGTTATTTCTACTTTCCATAACTTGATTTGTCTCGGCAGTTTTGTCTACTCTCGGGAATGATGCGTCATTCGTTTACGTTAAAATCCCTGATATTCACATTTGACAGAATCGTATCGTACATTCTGCGACGCGCTACTCGGTAGAGTATTCACAAGCATTAATGATGTGGGCATTATGTTCTATGTGGAAAACCAATCCATCTGTGTTTTTAGATAAGCTTTACAGATGAGTACCAACTGGTAGGAAGACTAGGTCAGTAAGGGCTTTCTGGTAAGTTCATCCAACCACTTAATACACCTAAAGGTGCCACAAGTATTCAGAGTTTGACAACGTCCGAAGCAGTAACACCTTTATAGTCGAAGTATGCCAACTCGGTCAAATCAGAGGTCAGGAATGAAGGAGTTCGAAGATATATTTGGGAGACTATCGGTATATCGGTTGAACGTCTGGTTTAATCTGGCTAGCAGTTGGAAGGGATGTGTAGCACGGTGTACTCACTTGTGATCTGGTGCGGATGCGTCACTGTGTGCCTTCAGATAGGTGAGACTAGTAGAATTAATGCGGTCAGCACAAAATATCGAAGACTTACAGTTCTATTGATTTGGGGGATTTATTTACAGCTGCACTCCATAAAAGCGACCATGCTTTTTTTATGCTCATATTTAGATAGAGTAGTTTTGATTCTATTCACAGTCTAGCATAATTATTACTCAATTACTTGAAATATGTACTTTCCACCCACATATGCTTCTAACGATGTATCTAAAACCAATATACCTCGAAATTTAAGGCTTATGAAGTTATAGTCGTACATCTGTCTTCTAGATAATTCCTCTGATTTTCGAGATTGTGTTATACTTCACGTTTCTCTTGACTTTCGAATTCCAATGATCATTTTCAAGGGGACGATTATAAACTAGTGATTGGTTGATAACTACACAGAATTCACCAAACTCATGTTCCATTTTCGGAATTGAATCAAAACTCTAACTAATACACACTGATCCGTTGCATTATACTAAACTCAACAACGAACGATGTCAAGAAAAAGAAAATGAAAAAAAGACAACTTATCTAACTGATACACAGTGAACGACTGATCATCTGTGTTGTAACAGAAAACAACCCGAGTATCGGGACTCCATAATTCCATGCACACTAACAACCGACTTTTTGAACACCTTGTTCTGTGAGTTAGTACCATCGAACAAAATGAACTGAAAATTTTCAACCAATAAATCAAATGTTAAATATATGAGAGAGGTGAATGAACTTGATCTCCTGTTGTGCAGTGGGATGTGAAATACAGGGTTGTGGTGATTATTAATCAACACAGTGTATTCGACTCAATCGAACTGATATTGATGTGAATCGATAGTGTGTGGAGAATAACCGAAGTGATTGGCATTAGTTAATGTGTCTTATTGGATGATTTGCAATTCGGTTTGAGAAGTGACGACCTAATTACATAAAGAATAGAACCGAGTGAATCTGCATCATGAGTGTCCGTTGATAATCTATGAAATGGTCAGTGTTGTGTATGTGGAGTGAGTATGTGGTACCTCCGGTAGAGAGTGTAGTTGATGTAAGCGGACAGAGAGGTAGGGACGTAAGTGTGTGTGTGTGCGTGTGTGTGAATATTGATGTGAGGAATGAAGTGTTTGTGAGGTGTTGGTAAAATAGGTGACGTCGCGTGCCGTGACCCCCATTGTGAGATGTGATCAATAACCGTACACCTAAGGCTAGCGCCCACCCAACCAGGTCATCTGCTCAGCACCACATACAGACCAAGGCCCACATGCAGTACATCTTCGCAGCTACGACGTGGCGACTGGGTGGGAAACCCGCACTTGGCGGACAACACTCTCTGTCCAGTGCCCGGGGAGTTCTCCCAGAGTCAGTGAGTGACTTCATGTATTGCACTCTTGAACAAACTCCGAAATAACCACCGGCACGCGACGACTGTCGGTCACTGCATTTACTCACCTAAAATATACTGGTTGATAACCGTTAGGAGGGCTCCATTTGCACATCTTCTCACAACTTGTTCTGCTTCCCATCCCGATTTCGATCAATCGTCGACATCCTAAATCCTCATTTACTTGTGCCTACCGTTTGTTCTTTTCCTACAGTAACTTGAGCATTTTGCATTTGCTTATACCCTTACTTATTTAAGTAGTATATTGACATTGGTGGTAATATTATTCACGAGTTCTTTATCTTCTTACCACATATACTATAATTTATTCATCTTCTAGCATTCATATGCTTTGATTTGAATGAATGTTTCGTTTATTGTTTCATAAGTGAGTAGATCGAAACTTATTCAGTTACTTAAGCCTGTTAATCCTCATGAAGGAGCATAGGCCACCCACCAGAATTCTTCATCCAACTCTGTCCTGGACAATCCTTCCCAGTTCCTATTCATCCTCTTCATGTTTGCTTCCAATTCACGATGTATTGTGTCTTTAGTGTTCCACTTTTTCGTTTCCATTCAGCATTGCAAGTTTGCGCTTGTCTCGTGATGCAGTTTGATGATATCCGTAATATATGTCCTACCCACTTTCAACGGCTTTTTATAATTTCCTCCTCAGCTCGATGTCGGTCTGTCCTCTCCCACAGTAGGCTGATGCTGATAGTATCCGAACAACAGATATTGAGTATATTGCGTAGATAATTGTTTAGAGATACTTGTACTTCTTGATGATGATTGTGGTAGTCCTTCATATTTCAGCTCCGTTCAACAGAACTGTCTTGACGATCATATTGAAGATTCTGACTTCGATATTGATTGACAGTTGTTTTGAGTTCTATATGTTATTCAATTGTAAGAATGCTGTCCTTGCTTTGCCAATCCTCGCCTTTAAGTCTGCATAAGATCCTCCTTGTTCATCGATGATGATGCAACCCAGATATGTGAAAGAGTCCACATCTCCCAGATATTTTCCATCACGTGTGATGATTGGGTTGTATTTAGGATCTTGTTTGTTCTCTTGTGTATGTTGAGGCCTACTGATAAGGAGACTGCTGCTACACTATTTGTCTTGACCTATATTTGTTAATGTGTATGGGATAAGAGGTCCAGGTACTCTATTTGATTCCGAGCTGTCCATTGTATTCCTTGTTTCCTCTCAGATGTCGAGGCCTTCATAATCCAGTCGACCACCAGAAGAAAGGTGATGGAGGAGAGTATGCAGTGTTGTCTGACTCCAGTCCTCACTTGGAATGCACATGTCAGCTATCCTCCATGCACCACTTTGCAGTGTAGTCCTTCGCATTAAGTTAGTGCTTCTTTGATCCATTTCCAATTGTCCTGAACAGTACTTTCTTCATAACCGTTGTTGTCCATTTCGACTTTGGCGTTTAGATCTCGCATCAGCATTGGCAGGTGCTTTCCTGGGCATTTCGCTATTATCGATTGCAGTCTCTCGTAGCACTGATCCTCATCGTCGTGATTGCTATCACTAGTGGGTGTGTAACACAGGATAACATTCATTGTGATTCCCTCTTTCTTTGTTTAAAAGATGCTTTGATGATCCCGAATCCGTGAGATGCCCATCTTACAAGTGCATTTCTTACTTCATTGGACAGTGTCAGAGCAACTGCCTGAGTGTGTGTAGCATTTTCCTCTTCGTGACTGGAGTACAGCAGCATCCTTCCCGTACCTAACTCTCGCTATCCAGCTTGGGTCCAATGAGTTTCGCTGATTGCGAGTAAAGCCAATTTGTATGTCCTAATTTCCGTAGCTATTTTACTGGTCCTCCCGGTTTCCCACATTGTCCGGACTTCCATATACCCATAAAGATTGTTGCTCTGGTTGTTAGAAGTGCCATCAGCCTCGTGACTCCCGAAGAATCTCGGCTTTCATCATGAGGCGTCCTAATTGTTCGTTCGACTGGTAGGGTAGAGTTTAATTTGCTTATTCTGGTTAGTGTTTTTTGGCAAGGTTGTTTTCTGTGGGATGGGGTTGCTGACTCCATGCCCAACCATCCTCCTTTACCCGGTCTTGTGACAGTCACTATCCCTAGAGGAGCTATTATCTGAGTTTCGTAATTGAAAACCCAAATGTTTATTCAATATCATCGCATATGTTTATCCATTGTTTTAAGAATGAAAATAGGTTCCGATCTGATACCAACAGAAATCCATGCGATTGTAATATAATCTTAA